GAAAATGCTAAAGTCTATATAAATTAACACACAGCTGGGGTAAAAGAATTTACATAATATAGTAGAACCAAGAATTCTATTTTACATAGAATTTTTTTCGAAATCCACAAAATGTTCTTATATTAATTCCATTTCTTTCCATTTTTCTGCAACTAAAACAACTAGAGGAAAATGATTTGCATAAAACAGTAAAACTATTTGAGCACAGTCCAATATTGCATCTATTTTTGAAACCAGAACTGTCTTTAGAAAGTACTTAATTCTACTTAAATGGAATAATTTCTATTTCTTCGCATCTACAGACGCCAGGTACTAGAATTATTTGAGCACAATACAAAACCTACTATTTTCATCAGAATTCTCTTCCAAAATTTGTAAACTCGACATTAATTAAATTTGATTTTTCCTCAACTAAAACTACTGAGGTAACGTGGTTTAAATGAGAGGACAACCATTCAAGCACAATGCAAAACTAATACATTTTGATCAGAACCGCCTTTTTGAAATTCCAAATTTTATTTAATTAAAAACTATCCGTAACTGTAGCAGCTAGAAGGATGCAATTTTTATGAGACAGTAGAACGATTCCAACACAATAGAAAGCTCCTACTGTGTACTCGACATTTTTTTTAACTTGTAAATTCTATTTAAATTAGTTAAATTCGATTTCTTCCATACTAAAGCAGATTAAATGAAATAACAAAACTATTTGTTTACAATGATAATAATTGGAGGTATAATTTTCAGAATTTTCTTTGAAATTCCTTAAAGCGACCTACATTTTCAATTTCAAATTTCTGACTGTGTCACTGAATTATTACTTAAATTTATAAAGCACTTTTGAAATATTCATTAACAAATAAACATTATACATTTTTTTTTAAATTTGAATGTTGGAGGACTTCATAGACAGAGGATACGCTCACCAAATTCTTAAGGTACAGGTAGAATTAGAAAAAAATAAACTTAAATCGCAGCATATGAAAACCACCAAATTCACTAGTCGTTGGCATTTTGACCTTTTTTCGGCTGCTTTCAGTGTTCGTGGATAGAGCAGTGAAGAAAAAAAAATTATGCAGTTTTAAAATAGATAATGAGTTTCATAAGAAAGAGTATAATTGTGGGCACATATTATTTGCAAATAAATTTTCACATTAACATAAATAAAATTAATTAATACATACATAATTTGAAGAAAAGTCCTCTTATGCAGGAAATACTCAAAAAAATGTTTATGCAAACTATTACACAATTACATATTGCAAATATATCAGTAAAATATTTTTATCATCATCTATACTTTCATTAATATAATTAATAGACTACGTAGAGAATTTTTTAGATAATCCGAAGAAACTTAAATTACTATTGTAAGAATTATTTGCACACTTAAAGCTGTATATTGACATATTTCACCATTTCCACTCATTTTAAATTTTCTGGACAGTATTGCCAAACTGTAATTTTTTTTTACATATAGCCGACCAGTAGTGAAGGATCTGTGCAGACTGAGAAGGATGTGCAGCCTGCTATGCGTGTCATATGATTTCGGTGCATCTGAATTGGGTGGTTTATATAAGCTGTCCTTAAGAGCAGAATAGATGTTCCATCATGCACATCAACTTGCTTGTGCAAACTTAAGTTCTACGATTTATCATTGAGAGAGTGCTGATAAGTTGGCAGACTTGTTAAATCTGTACAGACAATTGTTGGGCTTGAGTGAAATCAAACCTGCCAGATATTTTCGCTGCACGTACAGAGTTGTCTAGAGGCAAGTTGTAATGTCTGGCAGTTCTTGCAATTTATATGTAGTCTTTTTATTATTAACGAGCAGTAAAATTTGTTATACACATATTAAAATTAGTAGGTAATATAGTGATCGACTTAAATTATTGAATTACAATATGTCAGACCTATGGCTAATGTCGAGAGAGTTCTTCACAGATTTCATTAACCTATGCAGGGAAAATCCATTACTTTGGAAGGTAAAATCCAAAGACAATGGGACAAACAAAGAAAAATGCTGCATATGAGATATTAATAGAAAAGTTAAAACAGGTAGATCCCTCAACCAATAAAAACACGGTAATAAAAAAAATCAATTCATTACGCACTTGTTTTCGAAAAGAGTTGAAGAAAACTAGGAAATTTCACTCTGGTATGGATGCAGATGTGTATAAGCCAAGTCTATGGTATGACGTTTCATAACTGAACGCAAATTGATGCAACAAAACTGAATAGTTAGTAACGATTTAGTCTTGCCGTACAATTAAAGTTTGTGCAAGCACGTTGGTCTGCATAATGGAGCGTCTGTCCCGGGCTTAAAATTGTCTAGACCGTTTAGGTTTTAATCCAACATGTCCATCATTTATTTCCTATCATCGATTTTGGTTTGTAAATATTACTTAAGAATGCCTATGATTAATGTCGGGAAATACAAAAACTTACAAAATTTAATATTATCAGTAGTTGACCTAATAATAAATAATAATAATAATAATGATAAGTACAAGCAACGATGGTGATTATAGAAAATAATTTAAATGAAGCCGCATAACACAAAAATACAAAAATAATTTTTTGAAGTAAGTTGTAAATATGTTTAATACACCGAAGTTTGTTTATACCTATTATTTTTTAGTGCAAATATAATCGCATAATATAGAAATCTAGAGAAAGAAGGAATAACAAATGTTATGTGTGGCATTGTTTTAAGCACAAAGTTTGGTTAGTAAAATAATTGTTTATAAAGTCATTTATTTCGGTTTTCTAAATTAAATACTGACTCCATATGTTTCATACAAGTACAAAATTTTATATGGATGTCAGTTTTTATATATATTCACCGAGAAAAAAATAATGCAGAGTTGTAACAATTACTGTAGCTGAAGATGTAAAAATATTCTCAGTGGTCCAACATTAGACATTTTGTGGTCTATTATTCACTGCATGATCTGAAGTCCAAAAGACATGTAACCAGACATGTGCAAATTTTTTTTACGTAGAACCAACACATGGATATACAGATGGTTACATATCTTTTGTTGTGTGTGGGCGTAGGGTGGTATACCTACTGGATTCACCCGGTGTTTGCTACAATGTTGGCTATACTGCTGCGCACATCTACGTCGCTAATACTATCTTAAGAAATAACTATCTATCGAATGTTTAATTTGAAATTCTATCTCTTCTTCATTCGATAGGTAGGGATGATTTTGCAACAGGTCCAAGGGATTTTTGTATTTATAATGTTTGGATTATTTATTACTAATATGTGACTAATTTAGATTAAGTAACCCTCCTCTAGTATATAGTTTAACCCAAATATTCATGATTTTTTTTATTCAAATAATACACTTGTTAGTGCTTACATGAAAATCGTTTATTAATTGTAAAAGTAGTAAAAGTTTTCACTTAAATTTTTGATTTGCATATTACAAAATATATTTTAGTTGGACTACTTCCTGGAAATATTTTAATCAAACTTATTCTCAAAGCATTTACTCGCTATACTGATGTTAAAAAATACAAATATGTAATTTTACATATTTTTTATATATCTGCTTCTCTATTTACTTCAGAGTCGATAAATTTGATTTGGTCACAGTAATATTTGCATTTCCTAGAAAAAAATTAGGCGACAATTTCATTACATGCTAAACATAAAATGTATATTGTGCTCTTCTCCTACTTGTGTTAAGACAAAGTGGAAAAATCGAGGGAGTATATACCAATAAATTAAGTAAAATATAAAAGATGTACATTTTAATTGCTTTATAATACAAAAATATATTGTTCAAATAAATTATAGGTATAATATTAAATATTGTAACAAATCATGAATATTTGTCTTGGAATGATCCAAAATATATTTTTTTCTTTATAAAACTTATTTCATCATTAAGTTTTTGGTCACTTGATATATTTACATTTGTAAAAGTTTTAATTTGCCATTAAAAAACCTAATTGTGAATAATATTCTGAATCATTCAAAATTGCATGTGTAGTGTATAAACTATAATAGACAATAGAGCATGTAGAAGATATTTATTTCCACTTTTATATGTAGCACATAAATGAAAACTATAATTCTTATACAAGATTTACAGTTTATTTGTCAAATATTTAATTTGAAAATATAATTTTACAAATAATTTTTATATTTTTCGTTTATGTGCAACTTGTACAGGTTTTAAATCTGTGATTACACATTTTCCCCCGATTTTAAAATAATACAACTAACTGCTTACTTAAATACATAAAATTACCATAAGCTTGATTTTTAAGACCCCGTTAGCATGAAAGTTAGAGATTTGCGAGAATTATAGAAATAATCTGTTGAATCTCTAACACTTCAAATTAGTTATTTTATTTTTTGGCATGCTGTTTTTATTTATTTTTTATTGAAAATATATTTCTTATTCTAACACATCAATTTTAGGAAATGTATTTTCAATCATTATATTTATTTTGCATGTAAAAAAAAAGATTTATTTAATTTAATGTAACGGAAAGTGTTGGTAGCAAAGCAAAAGCCCAAATTTTCAGACCAAGAAAAGCATAAATAAATCTTTTCCTTGCATGTCATCTATATAAAACGATATTTATGAATATAAATAAAATATAATGGAAATGTACAGATTGTAGGGGATTTTGTAAGATATTTTCTCGTCACGATATAAAATTAATGCAAAAATAATTATATATTGATGTTTTTTATTTTTGCATAAATTTTTTAAGTAGGTGTATGTTTTCTGGACTCTATACGTTTATATTCATAGCAGACGTGTCACTATTCTAAAGATTTTTCACTACAAATAATCATATGATAATTAATTTTACTACACTTTTTGATTTTCAAAATTAGTGTTTTTTTATGAATCGTCTTATTAATTTTACTCATCAACTGATCATTTAACTTTTTGAGTTTGGTTTGCGTACCTGTCGACGAATCCTGTAAAAATTGTAAATAAATATACGTTCTCTTGTTGAAATTGCAGCGATTGGTGGTGCGGGTCCCCCACCATCAAGTGGACCATCTTTTACCCCCCAACCTCCTCCTCAGGCTAATCCGCCCATGCCTACTACACAGCCTTATGGTGGTAAGTCAATTTACTAACCAGTAAATTCATTTTGACTCGAGGGTCGATTCAGTCATTTTTCAAAGTGAAAAATTTCAAAGAAAAACAACATTTAGAATTTTTTATTTAATTTGGTATCTTGTTAAAAAACAAAAATTAATTATGTTTAATATATAACTTTTTACATCAACTTTTTGCCCTATTAAGGACTCGCACTGAGAAAACAGTAAAACGTGTCACTAGTTGACATTTCAAAAACTTTGTAAGCTCCTATATCAAATCACTTTCAGCAACAGTTAATGTTAACGTCAATCACATTTTAATTGCCTAAAAAAAAAACATGACAAATCATTGCCATAGAAAATGTTTTGATATTTTCAAAAACCATTAATTTTCTTACTACGAATTTCTTGTTTAGCAATTTCATAATAAATCAATTCCTTGATTAAACATAGTCTAAGATGTTATGTATTAAAATAAATTTTTATGGAAGGTCTGACAATCTTCACGAAATCGTGGCAGTGAAATATAATATACATCTGTAAAATGGAAGAAAACTATAGGCAATCTTGTGCAGCTGATTGATAATAATAATACATTGTAATACAGATATCTAATGTTTTTCAACAAATAGAGCTATATGTTTGTCATTTCACTCGTAAGATAGTGACGTGCTTTAGAGATCTATTGGAATCGTTCATGCCTCGGCTGTGATTTATGAATTTTGATTAGTTACTTTCTATTTACTAGATTCAAATTTTCTATAAACTTAATGATATATTGTATTTTATAAATATCAAATTATGAAAATGTATACAAGGAAAGACGATAAGAAGTGGTGTACGAGAAATAGTTTCCCATGTTCACGTACGTCTATGATCGAGAAGCTAACAAATGTTTAAAAATGGGTAATTTATCACCTGTGAAAAAAATTAAAGAATTAAAGTTTTTCACAGGTGGCAAAACAATAATTGAGAAAAAATGAGGTCTACCTCTAATAAATAACTTGACAATACGGTACTGGATTCCATAATGAATGACTCGTAAAACATCTATGACATCTTCGTAACGATTTCTATTTTCAAGCAATAAGGACAATGGAAATTTTATATAAATTTAAAGTTTCAACCTGCAGCAAGTTATTTGTCTCCATAAAACAAAAAAATTTTCCTTATGAGCCAGAGATTAAATAAACTAGGATTGAATAGTATATCTGCCAAAATAAAGAAATAATATCTAGCAGCTACCAAGAAATACGGAGTGGAAGGAAGTATTTGGATTAAATGTGGGTGGATAGTACATGTCAGTACAGAAATAGCCGAATAATTATCCCACATGCTCATTCAGATGCTGGTTTTGTGAAAGAAGAGGAATTATTTTTTCCTTTTGGACTGACAACTGAAAACTCAAGAGCAGATGAACCGAGATAATTTTGAAAAAGAATAAGCAACAGAATTTCCCAATACGACAACACTCATGTTGTAAAAGAAATTCTGACCAAGTATTCTATAACAACAGAAATGATTTCCTAGTTCCACCAAAATGAGCTCAATCAGAGGCCAATGTAGTGATAACTTTATAAAATTGATAACATGCATCATTTACATATGTATTACTTCAGGATTGTAGGTATAGGACTTGAACCATGCCTTGGGTTGGCGACAATTAAACAGTGTATAAAAATGCAGGCAATAGAATCCATAACACCTGCTAACTGGAAATCTTATGTAAATTATGTTCTTGGCTTCAAAGGTAAATATTAGGAACTGGACGAAAAAAATCGAGAGCATGGTAGATGAAATTGTATCTATTTGCGATAGTAACATTTCCACAAGGACAATGACGGTAATGATAGTTTACAACCACCAATTTTAACTTATATATGAATGTTTTTTATACCAGATACAATTTTTCTGAATGTATTTTTATTTTCATGTTGACTGATGTGAAATAAAGTTTTATAAAAAAAATATTATTTGCCACATTATATTTAATCTGCAAAACGCTGCTTATAATTTATTGTAAAGCAACTTGCTTTATTCTGCCAGTTTTCTTTCATTTCGAGCACTGTACATTTACTGCTCACAAAATACAAAAAAGGAGAAATATAATTTTTTACTAACAGTTGACGACTGTGACAATTCATCAGCAGACAGACAGACCAATGAACTATAGAGGCAAAGGCAATTTTGAATATTCTATTTGTATATATTCATTTTTTTGTTTTAATTTATTTTGAATATTGTTCACTGAAAATTAGAAATATATTAAAATGATAAGAATTTGTAGAAAACCGTTTACATATAAATGACCTATAATTTGTTTATCAAATGTCTTTTATTAAACAAAAACAGTTGCGACTTACTGCTGATTTTTGAAAAATTTATAGTTATTACAAAATAATACATTTATTATCTTAATGAAACATATTTCTTGGATAAGTAAAATACTAAGATTTTATAACACATTCTTTTCTTACTCCTGTCCAGACTATACATATTCACTCCAGACCAACTAATAATATTATCTTCCAAATAACATAGTGCAGCAAAGGAGTCCCTGGTGACACTTCAGGCAATCCATTAGATGTTCCATAGCTTATAAATTTAAACAGCAGAGCAAATATTTTCTATTTGTCCTGAACATCATCGTAAAGTTGAGTTAATACATTTGACAAAGCAATAACCTCTTCATGAGTAGTAATTCCCATGCATCTTAACTGTTTGTTTGTTTTTTTAACTTCTTCCTGGAAGATGATATTAAAAAATGATTCTGTTAAAAATAACTCCATAAATGAGTTGTTTACATTGCATAGATCCATGTTTCCTAACACTAGTATATCCATGTCACTACTGGCTGAATATCTCCATGGGCTATGGTGAAAAAACTTCCATTGAGAAGTGATGTATATTGATCCATCGTGCACCTTTCAGTCATGAGAAACTTAAAAAAACAGCCGATTTCGGGAATGCTGGATAACTATTTATTTCTGTGCTAAACATGCTAAATGTTGTGTTACAGCTCATGAAATGCAATTTTTGGAAACCATATTAATTTAGATTAAACAGAGCCCAAAACTGCATAGTAAATATGCGCTACTTAGCTACTCCCACTCCGTCTTTTACTGCTGCGCGAATGTAACCATGACCACCGCTATAAACACTACAGATTTAGGAATGAGCTACAAGTAGGCCAAGTATTCAGTGTTTTTCAAATAAATTTTGAAAGGCGAGTTAAATTGACTGCACATTTACAAATTTAACATTTCCTTTTTAATGTGTTTTATAAATCTAATCTATTTAATTATCTAGTTAACATTGTAAACAAAATATTAAATTAAATTTTTTTACTATGAAACAAAAATTTTCGACTACAGTACCTACGTACTGCTAAAATGCCTAATTTCCACTTCATCTTGTATAGTATAAATAAAGTTCTTTTCTGTTTTCCTAGTGATGCCTGGAATTCCAGGAGGAAACCCATATGTGATCCCTGGGCAGACACAGATTTATCCCCAAGGACCACCCCCTACATATGATCAAGCATTGACCCACCCAGCAGCTATAGTTGGGCAGCATGTAAGTATTTTATTTTGTATTTGAGATTTCAATGCGTTTCCAGGAACGTATTCCTAAATTATGTGCTCTGGGCGAATATGATCGGCCAGCCCAGTATCTGTAAAAAAAAATTTTGAGCTGTAGAAAACCACAAGAACAGGCCACCCCGGGCAATCGCCTCCTACACCCTTAGGAAAATAAGTCCCTGTACATTTTCTTTTACATTTTTGTTAATTTATGTTGGTCTGTGTCCTCTACTAAAGCTAAACACTGAAGCCAGGAAAAGAGCAACCCCCAACCAATTTTGCCAAACCCTCATTTTGTCGTAGAGTAGGGATCTTTTACCTAACAAAGACAGAACTAGAAAAGACTAACCTAGACAAAGGCCCTAAGGCTTTACATCCTTACCAAGGGATGATACGTCTTTCTATACAAATTTCGCCTAAATTTGTATACCTTCTGTGAATACACCAATGTACAAGCCACTAGAAGGTGTTCAAGCATCGCTTTCCTGGATGGTTACCATTCAAGTACTACCCAGCGTTGTTTGACTTTTCACATTAATGGCATGATTCCAAGTTGTTGTCCCGTCTCTTACCAGCGTTCCAGGTTTGCTTGATCGGTTTATCCAAATATCGGTTTAAGTAGGAAACACTAAAAGCAATATCTGGTCTAGTTATAATTGATAGATACATTAAACTACATATTAGTCTTCTATATGGAATATTATGCTCTATTGATTCATCTTCCTTTATTTTAAAAATCCAACTTGTTTCTATCACTTTTTGACCTTTAGGTAACTCTACTGGAGTCCATGTTTGTAATTCTTCATGCGAATTTAATTCTTTACTTATCGCTTGTCGCCATTCTTCAGATTTACTTGCTTCTGTATATGTTTTTGGTTCTTCTTCTTCTGATGTTGAGAGTAAACAATAAGCTGAATATATTTCATAATCATGTAATTAAGACAAAATTTTTACCACTAATTGTAGTTTTATCTTTTTCAACTGTTATTTTATGGCCTTTAGCTGTCATTTTTGATGTAGAAAGAAGATTATGTCTTATATTTGGAACAATTAAAGCTTCAATACTTATATTTTGTCTCGTACATTTAACTTTTAATGTACCTGATTTGTTTGCCTTCAAGGTTTCACCGTTTGCGATGTTAATTGACACGTAGTTAGGTACTGTTTTGATATCATATATATGTTTCTCTAGATACTCTTGTACAAAGTGATTACTTGCTCCAGAGTCTAAAACGAACCTAATTTTTCCTTCCATTTCATTATTTATGGTTCCTGCACACTAACAACACTATTGGTTCTTCAACTGTGTGAGCTTCATGTTTCGTATTTATTATATTTTCATCATTTTGATTTACGTAACTTCTGTTCCTTATATAATGATGACTTCTACTTCTAAAATGTCCTCTTTTTCCTCTGTATGTGCCTCTATTTGTGTCTTTACCTTTCGGGGAATGTTCTGGGCACTGTGCCCGAAAATGATATTGACTGCCACATGTATAGCACCCCTTTGTCGTTGCCTTGAAGCTTACTTCATTAGTTCCTTCATTCTTACTTTCTTCACGTGACTTGAACTTAATTTCTTCGTCTAATAGCCTAGCTTTCACAAAATCCAATTTGACATCTGATACTGTCTCTAACGCTGTCACGGCTGAGTCATATTTCGACGGTTATAAAGATAGTAACAAATGGCACACTTTGTTACCTTTATCAATATTTGAACCAATATTCTTTAGCTCTCTTATTATTGTGTAAAATTTCAAGAAATGGTCTTCCAACTTTTCATTTATCCCAAACTTAAAACCGAGTAACTATCTCCATAAAGTTAGTTTTGTAAACGAACTGGATCTGACGAATACGCCTTTTAAAGCTGCTATTTGATCTTTTGCATATTCACAATCTTTAATTATATGTAGGTGCTTATCAGACACACTGTGTACTATAATACTCTGTGCTTTTGCATCAACTTTAATAAATCTGCTCCTTACTTCAGTTGTTGCATTATCTCCTGGTGGTCCTTCCAAGGCTTCATTGCACATTTCCCTTTTTAATATGGCCACTATTCTAAAATGCCAGTTGTTAAAATTATTTAACATCGTAATAATAATCTGTCAGACTCTTTGTTTTCCAAGAGAAACTAAACTTTTCATACGATTATTATTATTTAACAATATATTAGTCAGATTTGAGGCTACCAACTTTTAGAATAAAAATGTATCAGAAAATAGTGATCAGTGAGTTGTCAATTTTGTATTTGGTCAGAGTCGCGCTGAGTAGCATTTTTGTTCATCTTGTTTAATTGTTACTCATAATTTAACATTGATATTATTGATATGTTACCTCTACTTGTTCTTTTTCTTACAAATACACAACTGCAGAAGCTAAATTTAGATTATCTATTTCAAGGATTTTACTGCTCATAAAAATTATTTGCTACATAAAATTGCTCCCGATATCAGTAAGCGATCAGTGAGTATACTGAACGCGACCCTAGAATAGACCTAAGATATACCAACATAACAAACACTATAGTTTTAAATACACGACTATTTTTTAAATGTTTAAAATACAAGCATGCCAAAATTGTAGAATTGGTATTGTTGATTATATTTACATACCGAGTCACTAAAATTGGTCATATTTTGAAACCAGTTCTATTTTTTCAATTACATATACTGACCAATATAACTTGGCCAATTTCTTGACTAATTTATTGAGGCAAAAATTATCAGTATTTTACCAGTATCAGGTGTAAGAACTGCTGGTATATAGTAGAACTTCGATTGATTATTCCAGAATCCAGACTAGCCAATGACTAGAATACATTCTATTAACCAGAATGTTTTAAAATATAGTCTGGATTATAGAGTTTATTCCGTAGTTTTAATATTTGCAGACATTTGTGTAAAAACTGGTAAGAAATTAATGCAGTTTAGTTCTCTTTTGTAATTCATTGTCAATATATCTAATAAACATGAACGTATCACTTTCAGATTAAAAAATAAAATGGATGTTATAAAAAATTAATGGAGAATATTGGTAAAACATGCTGCTTTTTATTAAATTGGAAAGTCAAGCATATACAGGGTGTTCCTAAATAAGTGTCGCAACGGAAAACTGCAAATTCCTTTTGAAAAAAGAAACATTATTTTCCTCTTCCATTTTTCTTTCCGGGCTTTCGTTTTCGAGATACACGGTGTCAAAACTTTATTTTTTTTTAGTTTTTTGCCAATATTTTAGGAACCGTTTGAACTATAGAACTGAGCTGTTGTGCACACATTACCACTATTAGTAGCTACTTTTTCGCATCCATCTCGAATTCATCACGTGCCAGTGGTGGAACTTTTAAGGTATCGTAAGGGAAACTTTTACGCCACTGCAAAAATTGACATTTGACAGAAATTCTGAAGCGCCAATGAATTTTACACAAAAAGAGTTCTTTTGGTTCATTGCAAGAAAAATGACTTTTTATGAACAAAAACAAACATTTTGCTAACGTTTCGAAAATCTTTTGTAATTCAAAAAAATAGGTAGTAATAATTAACAATTTTTAACGAAATTTAACAACAGTTTTTGTAAATTTTAGTCGCTAAAGTGATAAAAAATTATTTTTAAGTTTTTTTAAATTAAAATCCTATCTGTTGTTAAATTTCGTTAAAATTGTTAATTATTACCACCTATTTTTTGAATTGCAAAAGATTTTCGAAACGTCCGCAAAATGTTTGTTTTTGTTCATAAAAAGTAATTTTTCTTGAAAACGGTTGACTTTAGAGCAATGAACCAGGGAATTCTATTTGTGTAAAATTCATTGGCGCTTCAGAATTTCCTGTCAACTGTCAATTTTCCCAGTGGCTTAAAAGTTAGGGGGGAAAACGTTACCTTCAAATCTCCACCACTCCAATGAATTCGAGAAGGATGCGAAAAAGTAGATATTAATAGTGGTAATGTGTGAACAAAAGCTCAGTCCTGTTCAAACGGTTCCTTATTGGCAAAAAACTAAAAAAAAATTAAAATTTTGACACCGTGTATTTCGAAAACGAAAGCCAGGAGAGAAAAATGGAAGAGGAAAAATATGTTTCGTTTTTCAAGAGGAATTTACAGTTTTCCATTGCGACACTTATTTAGGAACACCCTATATATATATATATTTTTAACTTTAATAACTAGTTTTTGAATTGGTGTAAAAGTAATAATAAATTGTTTATTTTTTTCACTAATTCTGACTGGGCTCAACATGTTTTATTCCAGATTATCATTTTGCAGTATACAACTGACAGTAAACACAAAACTGTCAACAAATCCGACTGATTATTTTTATATTTTTGGAAAGTAAATTTTCAAAGGTCAATGTTTAAATAGTTATTAAAGCAATAAATTTCATTAGCTATATATCTAATTACATGATAATCCAGAGGCGTTCATAATTTATAGTTTTTATGCCCGTTTCCTTTATTTCCAAATTAAAAATGATTTTATTTTTAACTAAAAACGATTAAATTTTTCCTAACAAAATACAATTTCAGGTAAAGAAAAAAAGAAATATGCACTCACTGACATTACAATAGTTTAGGTTTTAGTTTTGTTTGTCACTAGTTTAGATTTCCATGTGGGATACTAGAATTATTGTTAGTTAGGTTTGTACAAAAAGCAATTTGCGGACAGTTCGTAATCAATTAGTGAACAATTTTAAGCACTTGTGTGAGCAAAGTGTGATTCTGAACTAGTGGTTATATTATAGTTCTATCATGGAACATATAATATGAATGATTGTATGCATGCTTCAAAGAACCATCCCATCAGTTTTTGCTTAGAACGAGAAACTAATTTCACCATTTCCGCACTAGTTTTTTTTTTATTGTTGGAATATCACAATACAGGGTGTCCGGAAATTCATGCAACAAAATTTGGTCATAGATTTTTAAGACAAATTTAGGGGATCCGTATTTTTTCTTTTTGCCAACTGGTCCCCTCTTTCGGAGTTACAGCCCCCTGAAATCTAAGAAGTCTTTTTTATATCTCAAAACCATATTGTACGAGAATCACTAAATCTGGTACACAGGGGTTTTATGACATGTGGAATCTCACAGTGCTACGCTTTTTGGCAAGAAACCCCCTTAAGCCACTTTTTCGTGGCCCCCCTTGTCTTTGGAACCAGAAAAATTTGGTCGCAAATTTGATTTTTAAAAAAATGTTTAGTTAGCTAGAAAGCCATTGAATTTAGAAACTCTTTTGTCTCTTGATATTTGTTTCGAAAAACGCAATGTTTTTGAGGTAAATGGCGAATCACGATATGCATTCGATCACATTTTGACATTTTTCTCGAAAACATTGCGTTTTACGAAAAAGTATAAAGAGAAAAAGTTTCTAAATTTAAATGTGCTACCAAATTTTTTGGCCTCCAAAGACAAGGGGGCCCACGAAAAATTGTTTTAAGGGGGTTCCCCGCCAAAAAACGTTGCACCATCAGATTCCACATGTCATAAAAGCCCTGTGTACCAAATTTAGTACAACAGGGTTCTGAGATATAAAAAAAAGATTATTCTTAGGGGCGGACTTCAGGGGGCTGTAACTCCGAAAGAGGGGGCCACTTGGCAAAAATAAAAAATACGGGTCCCCTAAATTTGTCTTAAGAATCTGTGACCAAATTTTGTTGCATGAATTTCGGGACACCCTGTATAATATAAATCAATACGGTGATAGAACGATAGTTCACTATTTTCAGATTGACTATATATTTAATTAGTGCTTCATTATCCATATACAGAGTGATATTTTTTATAGTGTGTAAGTATTCATACTCATAACGAATACATTTCTGAAATTTGATTTATTCCATGTTATTATAAGTGCCACTTGTAAAACTAAACTGTGTTTGGGTGGTTTTGTGGCTGTAAGAATTGGAACTCGTTGATCATCAAATGGGTACAAGTTTCTCGAGTACTGTTGTTGGGTCTTCGTCAACAAGATTTTAAATTTGTTCTTTATTCCTCCCATCGCATGTTTTCTAGTATTCTAGATCTTTTTTCACATCCCCTCCATGATATTCCCGCAAATCACTAGTGTCTCTGTCTCTCTGCACAACCTGAACAAATAATCCCGGTGAGGGATGAAGTTGTAAGGATAAAAGTTCCACATAGAGCCAGAATGCTGCATTAGCAGTCTAACGACACTCCATAAATTGGTATGTCAACTAATTCATTGCTGTTACCAATATGGGCCATTATAAGCGAAACTGTTCAAGTAAAAATCACAGCTAATGTCTATGATAGAACTGACATGAACAAACATAAGAAATCAAAAAACATCCACAAAAGAGGCAGAAACAGTAGCTTTCTGTACTGTTTATTTTGTATACGTGGATGATTGACTTACTTAAATTCTCTGCAAAGCCCAGCTTGAATTTTTTAACAAGCCTGTAGCTTATTTATTTTGGAAATATAATTTGAAAAAAATTCTTGTTTCTACAAGCTGTAAAAAATATGACTCAATTTGGGAATATTAGTGAAGTAGTTCACAAATTTATTTGAAGCAAAATAGTAACTATATCTATTTTGTATGTAAAAGTGCAAAGACAAGTTTCTCTTAAGAAATTTTAAAATCTTGCCACACTCAGATCCACAAAACTTATTTATAAATTATGCGCCCTGGGCCGCCCCAGCACCTGTTAGTAAATGTAAAATGTAAAAAAAACCTAGAGGGGCGGCCGGAGGGCAATCACCCACTATGCCTTTAGGAAAATACGTCCTTGGTCACCCACTCCATAACACCTATTTATAAAAAAATATGTCCTCACTGATTTGTATTTACTGTTGGAATACACCGTTAAGAAGTTCCAGAATCAATTCAGTAGCTGTTGGGACATTAAAATTCAATTTGTGCTATTCCAGATAGTCGCAGCTAAATCTAATGTCTGTTGGAACAAATCTATTGAAAGCTTGGTAATATGACACTTAGACTTAGGGTACAACAGGACATTACGTCTAACTTCAGGGCTGACTCTAGTGTTGGCGATACTTTAAAAAATATCGATACATCGTATTGATCTGTATCACCATGAAAAATATCAATACTGATAAAAGATCAATTGGATTAGTCTAAAAGTATTGTTATATATAATATTGCATAAAAATTAGATTTTTTTGTGCAAGAATTAAATTCATGTTAAATCATTCATCAATATTTGAAAAAATACATTTAAATTCATATAAATACACATTTTCATGCAAAAGATATCGTTAAATATTATTTAAAGGAATAAAATGATATCTATAATACCAAATGAAAATGTCATTCCCATTTTCTTTATGCAATAGAAAATTCAGTTCATCTATCATCATGGGCATAGGTAGCATTTTTGCTTGGGGTGTGCCTTGAGGGGTCAGCAGTTCAGCCAGCTAGTCCAACAAAAAAGATGATATTGGATTGCTTTCTGTCTACCCCTGCTCCAAGCTATGAATCTCACCATCACTATTTGAGGATTATAGGTTCCTTACATATCGGTTTCCTATTTATACAAGTTGCTGTGGAAATTGTTTGTCAATTGTTGCGCATTCTAAGTGGAAAGACCAAGAAAATCTGCTTTCTCATAAGACTGTACTAAATCGTGAAAAATTATTTTATTAATATCTCGTCTCTTAGGTATCCAAACTACTCATAATTTTTTTTGAGGATTTTCTTCATATTAATAAGCTTATACTAATTTTTTTATGAATATTTGTCAATTCCAAATCAGATTTATTTGAAAGACTCCTAACTCTGAGGATACTTACTAGTTGCTCTGGTTAAATTTGACATGTGTGTAGTATATACAGGGTGTCCGGAAAGGTCGTGTCAAAAATGATACAGGGGAGCTCAAAATAGTTGTAGAAAGAAGTTTGAAAGCAAATTCCAATTATAACTTCTAAGTCGTTACCATGACAACACTGAAATTTGGGCAATTAAAGTAACTCATGGTAATGTTCATTTCCAAGTTTAATACAGGAGCAGACAAAATTATCCATTTAAATTTAAACATCTTTGACAGCGATTTTTCTTTCATAGTTCGATTCCTCTCTCAATTTACTAAAAAAAGGTCATATATCAATCGTTATCTTGGACCGTTTTTGAGAAAATCAAATTTTATTTTTGTCATCTTGTCTTGTTTATCAAACTCCTATAAATAAGTAGGGAAGAATTATTAAATCGCATAATTACATACGCCGACGTCATTAGAAATGATCACTACATGTTATTTTGATTACACCAGAGGTGTTTGAGCAATTTCAGAAAATGTATTGAAGTTCAAGGTGCACATATTGAACATCTTACGTTCTCTTTTTTCTTTTAATTCTATAGAAAACAAGATTTTTTCAAAAATGTTATCACATTTTTGATAATAAATGTATGTTGTTAATAAAATTCGCTTTTCTCAAAAACGGTACATGATATCGACTGACGTACGGTATACCTTTTTTTAACAAAATTAGAGGGGAATCGAACTATGAAAGAAAAATGTCAAATGGTACTACAGGGTGTCCCGAAATTCATGCAACAAAATTTGGTCATAGATTTTTAAGACAAATTTAGGAGACCTGTATTTTTTCTTTTTGCCAACTTGCCCCCTCTTTCGGAGTTACAGCCCCCTGAAATCTGCCCCTAAGTCTTTTTTATATCACAAAACCATATTGTATGAGAATCACTAAATTTGGTACACAGGGGCTTTATGACATGTTCAATATCACAGTGCTACCCTTTTTGGAGAGAAACCCCCTTAAGACACTTTTTCGTGGGCCCCCTTTTCTGGAACCAGAAAAATTTGGTTGCAAATTTGATTTTTTTTTTAAATTATTAGTTAGCTAGAAAGCTATTGAATTTAGAAACTTTTTTGTCTATTGATATTTGTTTCGTAAAACGAAATGTTTTTGAAGAAAATGGCATATCACGATATGCATTCGATTACATTTTGACATTTTTCTTGAAAACTTTGCGTTTTACGAAAAAAGTATAAAGTGACAAAAAGTTTCTAAATTTAATGGCTTTCTAGTGGAATTTTTAAGAAATTTAAATATGCGACTAAATTTTTTTGGCTCCAAAGACAAGGAGGCCCACGAAAAATTGTCTTAGGGGGGCTCCATCAGATTTCACATGTCATAAAACCCCTGTGTATCAAATTTAGTCATTCTCGTACAACAGGGTTCTGAGATATAAAAAAAATATTCTTAGGCGCGGACTTCAGGGGGCTGTAACTCCGAAAGAGAGGGCCACTTGGCAAAAATAAAAAATACAGGTTCCCTAAATCTGTCTTAAGAATCTGTGACCAAATTTTGTTGCATGAATTTCGGGACACCCTGTATATTAACACGGAACTGTGTTGTACCAAAATTAAAGATTATTGTAGGATTGTAGATTACAAAAAATTGTTAATATTTGTTTTGACAAGAGCCGCTCTGAAAGTTTGTGAAATGCCTGTTATATGCTGTATAAAAACTAAACCATTTATTTTTTAGATTAACTTACATACCTGTATGTTAAGAACTAAACTACCAATTAAATTTATAATTATCGTTCATTTAATCATTTTTTTCCATTGCAGATGTATCCTCCAGGAACTATGTATGCTGCCGGTTATCCAACTTATCTAGGTTATCCGACTTACGCCCCTATGCAGTATTATCCTTCATTAGGTGCCTACTCGTATGCCATGCAGCCTGCACAGTTGAGGCCCACTATCATGATACCAGTAAGTCACATTATCAGTAAATATTATAGGACAAGAAGGTCAGTCTAACTGTTGACATTGGCCACAGTTTAATGTCCTTAAATTGTTATAATCGGGTAATAAAAGCTATAAACAATAATAGTAAATTTGTTACATCTGAGGGCATCTATCGCAATGCTCCCTGGATCCTGATGGCTCAAAAAATGTCAAAATTTGTGGACAAGCATCAGCCCTTTAACATAATCTAATAATGTAGCTGATACAGGGTAATTCAGTCATAATGTCATTAATTTTAAGGGAAGATAGGAAAAAATCAGTAGAATACACAATTAAAAGAACTTTAAAATGCATATTTACGCTGAAAAAAAAAAAGTTCAAATCATTATTTAAACCACTTTTTGGACTGCTCCTGAGCGTTGGCGGCACTGATACATTCACAGTTCCCATGTCGACTTGATGTTGGCCTGAAGCGACGTTGCAAATTTAAACATTTTCCTATTATTAGACATCATAAATAAACAGTTGTGTTGACTATTTTAGAAACTCATGTTTTTTTCTTGCCCACTTCAGTCGATTAAAAATGTTAAAATATGTAATAAATGATGCATGCCTTGCCAAAAAAACAGTTTTCTCGTAATATTCTCCAGACCTTACTTTGGGATATCCCCAACCGCCTTTAAAGGGTTCTTGTCGAAATAGTAGGTTCTTCCTCAACTAAATTTAAAACAGCTTCTGTCACATTCAAATCATTTTGATGATGCCCTGTAAGTTCTTGTCATGGTATCAAAGATCCAGCATTGTGAAGACATAAAAAACTCGCAAGGTTAGTGGGCTCGGAAAATGTTGTCTATGAGGGAAACGCCTCTAATATTCTGCTGCAACGGCATTCGCATTTCGTAAACATTCTCCATATAAAACCACCATTTTCGAATATTCAAAATTCGCGAAATTAGCCATTACGACTGACACAAGAAATAATTCGAAATAAACTGCGAGTTGTATGCGTTCTACATACCTCCTCTCCATATGTATGACGTGATCTCCAAATTTGTGGGTAAAGAATGCGGAAGATGCGATTAACGGTTGTATATTTGAATATTTTATCATTATTTATGTTTTTTTTTTTCTTCAATTTTGTGTCTATTTAGTCCAATCAAATTACTTTTTCAAATGCCAAATAATAGTTCAGTAATTGAAAATATGTAAAAATTAGGAAAAATTCCGTAGTATTCAATGAACTACTTTACCCCACATGAATTTTTGGGCTTCATTTTCAAAATGGCAGCCAAAGTTCGCAAAAAACAGTTTTTTTATTTATAAAAAAACTAAACATTTTAGAAAAAAATGTTTCGAACAAAAGTTGTAGGAATTTTTAATACGGATCGAATAAGCCCAAAACGGTTTTGATCGATAAATAAATTAGGTATTGCAAAAAAACCGCTAACAATCGCAGTTTTTTCAAATAGCTGTATCTCTTTCAAAAATAAATATTTTTTTATGTAACTTGGTGAAAGGATAACTCTTGGTGAGCAAAATAAAATGATTTTTTCAAAATTGAAAGATATTTTATAGTTTTTGCAAAATTCGAGTTTTTCGAAAAAAAAGCGTTTTTGTAAAATCCCCTTAATTCATAGGCCGCCACATTTTTAGGAACGGGGTTGGGCTTAAAATTTTCTTTAATAATTACACTATTATGTGCAAATATTGCGCGAGCCTAAAGTCGATTTCAAATATTGCAAAAAACAATTGAAAAATCGTTTTTTTTTTCGGGGCCATAAAACTTTGATTAACTTTTTTATTTCAATTCGTATCAAAATGTTGATATTATGGGAATTTTACAAAAACTAAAATATTTTTCAATTTTGAAAAAAATCATTTTATATTGCTCAAGTTTCATAAAAAAATATTTATTTTTGAGATTTGATTTGTAGCGGTTTTTTGCCATAACTAATTAATTTATTTATCGATCAAAACCGCTTTGGGCTTATTCGATTTGTATTAAAAATTCCTACATCTTTTGTTTGAAACATTTTTTTCTAAATCTATTTTTTATAAATGAAAAAAACTGTTTTTTTGCGAACTTTGAATGTAATTTTGAAAATGAAACCCAAAAATTCAGGTGGGGTAAAGTAGTTCATTGAATTCTACAGAATTTTTCCTAAAAATGTGTTATTTTTGACAATTTGATTGGCCTAATTAGGCCTTCTGAGTACGTTAAAATTAATGATATTGTTACTGAATCACCCTGTATAACTAATGATATTATGTTTGCACGAGTTAGGAAAAGTGGGCTGTGCGTATTTATATAAAATTATTGTTTCAGAATGGTTATGACACAGGTGCACGTTTCGATGGCATAACTCAGCAGGTACTGCCACCCGCTCCTCCCGGAGTACCTCCAAATGCTGCTCAGTTAGCCGCTATGGCAGGTCACCAGGTAGCTCTAGGACAGAAGAAGAACTCGTTTTTGGCAGGGGGTTCAGACGGGGGTTACACTTTCTGGTAGGAGTCGTGGTCTCCTAGGACCGTGCTAGGCTAACGAAATTGTTTCCTCTCCATCTCGGACAGATACTACGCCCCAATCTACGTTTTAGGCAGTTATAACGTGACTTGGGGCACACGAATCTAGTCCTAGTCAAATATCCTCTTGTTTTTTTTTTACTGTGTCAAAGTTGCAGTAAAGTATGTTGTCGTTTTTTTTTCTGTTTTGGGAGACAGCGCTTGAAAGAGCGCGAGAATTTCTAGTACGTTCGAAGTGGAACAAGTAAATAAAAGTAGATAATAAAATAATGAAATACTTAGGACACCGCTATAAGAAATAAAACTTAAATCATTACCGGTTAGGTATAACATATGTATATTGCTACTGATATTTTCAGTTGTTAACTGAATTTAAGAATTCTTTTTAACACAACAGGTGACTGATTTATGGCAGTCCTTGTTCTGACTTCTTGCAAAAATAACGCCGTAATTACTTTTTCTGCGGAACATTACCTTTCATTTGTTTTATTAAATGTTTTATTGTTTAAAATGTGACTATTTTTATTTTTTTACGTGATGTCTAATAGAACCAATTTGTTAAAGAAAATACGAAATTTTAAAAAATTCAATTTCTTTTTCGTAGCAACAGTGTATCCCATTGTCGAGTCTTGCTAGGGTATCTCGGTTAATATTAAAGGTAAGTAATTGCAGCTTTGCAAAGTGTTTTACTTTTATTATTATTTTACTTCGACTTATAGCCAATCAAATTTTTGTATTTTGGGTGGCCCTACAATTGGATTGAAATATTGACGCTATTTTATTGATTTTTTTGCATTAGAAACCAGTGATGTAATTTTTTAATAACAGTTTTCTACTTCTATTTTTGACTTATAGATTAGTGTTACATTTGTTTAAATGAAAATCAAAGTTGGCTTTTGCCTGGTCGAAAAGATTTTCCAAAAATAGATGGTTTGTCAAACTTGAATATGAAATTTTATTTTGTTTAAAAATAAAAAAAGGATCAAGTTGGTTATGACTAAAAACATATATAACACAAAATCTGGTGCCATTGTTGTACAGGGTGTCCCAAAATTCATGCAACAAAATTTGGTCACAGATCCTTAAGACAAATTTAGGGAACCCGTATTTGTTCATTTTGCCAACTGCCCCCCTCTTGGAGTTACAGCCCCCTGAAATCTGCCCCTAAGAAGTCTTTATATCTCCAAACCATGTTGTACGAGCATCACTAAATTTGGTACACAGGGGTTTTATGACGTGGAATCTCACAGTGCTATGCTTTTTAGCGAGAAACCCCCTTAAGACATTTTTTATGGGCCCCCTTGTCTTTGGAACCAGAAAAATTTGGTCGCAAATTTGATTTTTTTTTTTTAATTATTAGTTAGCTAGAAAGCCATTGAATTTAGAAACTTTTTCGTCTCTTGATATTTGTTTCGTAAAATGCAATGTTTTTGAGGAACATGGTGTATCACAATATGTATTCGATCACATTTTGACATTTTTCTCGAAAACATTGCGTTTTACGAATAAAATATAGAGACAAAAAGTTTCTAAATTTAATGGCTTTCAGTGGACTGATAATTTTTAAGAAATTTAAATATAGGGCCAAATTTTTTTTTTTACTCCAAAGACAAGGGGGTCCACGAAAAATTGTCTTAAGGGGGTTCCCCGTAGCACCATCAGATTCCACATGTCCTGTGTACCAAATTTAGTGGTTCTCGCACAACAGGGTTCTGAGATATAAAAAAAAATTATTCTTAGGGGCGGACTTCAGGGGGTGTAACTCAGAAAGAGGGGGCCACTTGGCAAAAATAAAAAATAAGGGTCCTCCAAATTTCTCTTAAGAATCTGTGACCAAATTTAGTTGCATGCATTTTGGGACACCCTATATATAGCTGGATATAGGGAAGAACATGCATATAGTATGATGAAGGTAAATAGAATCTTTTTAAGAGGGTTCTCTAGCAAATAGGCAACCAGATTTTATTAGACAGTTTGTCTAAATATGAATTAATGCACAAAAAACGGACTTTCCTCCATTCTAACACAGATTTTCTGTAAAATGGATTTAGTTTGGAACTCAAATTACTTGTTGCAAAAAAATTTGTAATTTGCCGCTTTTGAATAATTGATGTACATGATGTACATGATGATTACAAATTTCTTTATACCAAAAAATATTTTCAAACTAAGTTCATTTTATAAATCTGCGTTAAAATTAGGAAAAGTCTGGTATATGTGTATTAATTCATATTTGGACAAACTGTAATAAAATTAATAATTTAAAATTATAGTTGCGCTTCTATGCAAAAAAGTCTGTAGGATAATCGACATTTCACAAAAAATTGTCTGATCGTAGCCAGTGCAAAATATCAGTCTTGATTTTTTTGGATATAACTCGAGACAAAAAAATCTGTCCTGAAGTTTTTTCCCAATGTTTACAAACTTTGCTACTTTAATATTAACGGAGACGCTCAAGTTTTACATTGAAAATATTATGCACTGTACTGTTAATTTTTTAATGTAAATATTTTATATTTACATAAAAACTTCAAACTTTGCAAATAAAGAAACTGAAATATAATTGTAAATAAAACCAGTATAGTCTAATAAAAATAAAATAATTTGTAGAACTTGGAGAATACCTTTGGCGAAATTTTTGTCTTATTGTTAACCAACTGGTTTATATTAGCGCACTTGTATTTCATTTTTTTTATTACCAATTTTGTTAATAATTTATATATTTTTTTTTACATTACCCTTTTACAAATAGATATTTTTATGAGATCTTTCGAGTGAAAAAGGAAATCGTAGTGCAATAAAAATTTATATAGAGTGAGTTATTCTGTTATATATTTATTCGTAACTTATTGTTAAATGGATTTTTTTTTGTATTCCTTTTTCCTCATTTGTTGAGATTTGAGATATTGAATATGAATAATGATATAATAATTTCATAGGCAATAAATTTATTACTGGCAGTTATAATCTTTTTTTGGAGAATGCGGTGGTACCGGTGTGTGGAGAAAGTACAAATGACTATTCTACTAAACTTTTTCCAAAAATGAGATTATTTATGAGTACCAGCGGTTCTTGTGCATTGAGTTGTCAGCTTGTGTATCTACAAAAAAATTGTGGATATAGTAATCAGTTGTCACAAATCAAAATTGAAAGAAATAATATGAAATGTACTTCCAAGAGCGATTTTACACAACCAAAGAAATTCATGAGTAAGAGTACTTACATAATCTAATTTTTTAATTTAATCAGATCCAATTTTGAATATTATTTATTTAGTAACTTCTAATAATTATAGTTATTTACTAATGTACCTACAACTTTTACAACATGAATGACTAAAGGTGCGATTCCATTGCGCGAAATAGACTCGCCCAACTGCATCACGAGAGTGACTCGCGAGTTGCTGTTTCATTTATAAAGGCAAAACGTTTCGCAAAATAAGTAGAAATTAGGTGAGCCGTCAGTTTTCGCGAGGCAAGCATGTTGTTCGTATCTCTGTCTGCAGCGTTAGCATTGGCTGTCATTGCGATGCTTTATGTGAATAAAAAGAAAAAAAAACAAAGAAATATTTCGTCAGCGATAGCTAAGTAGGAACAGCCTCTAAGGGATATTTTTCCTTTCAGGCTGTCGACAGGTATATTCATTTTTACGCTCGTCTCTTTCCATGCAGCCTCCTTATAATAAGCTTTTTCATTCGCATCCCACAAAAATTGGTAGGTCTAATTCATTGTGTGTTTACATGACGCAAAACTAACACAGCGAAACACTTTGATTAATTCTCAAAAACCGACAGGCAATCCACTCGCAGCGCAACATCCTCACGCAAATAAATTTGTGGTGTGCAACAGGTTTTCACGGCGGAAATCTAGTTTCGCGAGTCAATTTCGCTCAATGGAATTGCAGCTTAACACTTATTAAAAAAAACTGAAAATTTGAATAGTTTTAGTTTTTTCATGAACTTATTATCATCAACAAATTGGTAATTTTGTTAAATTAACAATTAAAAAAAAATTACAATTTTTTGTGTAAAGCTGCTATAAGTATATTTGGAATATCATTGAAGAGAAATTTAAATGCAAATAATTATCAATTTAACAGAATAAATATTAAAAAGAAAATGTGCATATTGTGACAAATTAGTGTAAGTATATTTCGGGAAAGATGGGTTAACATTTTATATATATATATATATATATTTTTTCTTGAAAAACACGTAAGTATTTAGTATATTTTTCAAACAAAAATAAAATTGCTGCCCTGATACAAAATTTGTTTAGTTTTATTTTAATTTATTAAATAAACATTTTTGTAGCATCAAATACAAAATTCTTATTGATTTTCTAACACGACTGTTATTAATTAGAGCTGAGGTAACTTAATGCAAGAATCGCTGCTACTACTGTCACCTTTCTGTTTATTTTTTATAAATGACTTACAAATTGATTTAAATCTGTTATAACTGATTATGATGAATAATTATAATTCTGTTTTCATTTTGAGTTGAAAGTCATTTCTGGAAAATGAAATTGGGGGGGAAAATAAGAATTGCAGTTTTTAATGAAATTCATGGTCAATCACCCTTATAACTGAAACAATCGAAGACAACAATTGATCTACTGTAGAATTCGAATGGAACACCAACAACATTTTGTTACTTGCCAGCATTTTGTTGTACTGGGATATTTTTGTTGTAGCTGAAGGATTTTTACAATTAGATTTACTATTGTGAGACTGTGGAAGATCTACTGTGAAATATATTATGATTAAAGTGGTTGTGTTTCATTACGTCAATTTATACTAATTGAAACTATACCTTTGAACGAAAAATTTCTGCTTTAGCGATCTGAAAAAATTATATATCTGAATAGTTCCAGTTTAAGCCAAATCTTAAAAGGGTTATGGGAAGATCATATTGGTTTCACCTTTAGTACTCTACTATGTAAAAAATTAAGTAAGTCTATATTCAGTTTTTAAAACCGATCTGGACAAGAATAAGAAACTAACAGTGAGGTGTTTTCACTAAATTTTATAGAATTTAATGTGTTTCTGGTAATTCTCGAAAAGATAGATAAGTAATGCCCTAGTTTATATCTATATTGTAACATAGTTAAATCGGAGGTCCCAAAATTTTTTTGTCTCAAACCATGTGCTCATTTTCTCTGTTTTGGGTAGACCCGCGCCTTTCTAATATTGAATTGTTACAAATTAATCAACTTTTAGCAGCTGACGGTGTAAGTTTTTAGCTACAAGTTACAAGTGTTGCGACTACAAAGTGAATACTACTACTGCACAAATTTTATGAAA